GTGTGTGTGTGTGTGTGTGTGTGTGTGTATGTGTATGTGTATGTGTTTCACAGTCTTGACAGAAAAGTTTCAGTAGTCTGGTAACACATCATTAAGTGCTGAATGAATTTGAGATCTAATTTACAAATTATACAATATAATATTTCATATATTAATATATATATATAATAGACTTTTCTATTGACACAGTCTGTGCTCATAGAGATTTCTATAACTAAAAGTATTTCCAGTACACTCACTTCAGCGGCAATCACACCAGGAGTGATTTTAGGTTAAGTACCTGGAACAAGGACACAGAGATGATTGCTTATGGCTCAACCCTTGTAGGAATGAACCAGTAACCTTCTGGTTGCCAGACTCTAGGCCACCCTATATGTACTGTGTGTAATGAAGTACTGGGTGGTTCATTGATCTACACTTATAAGAGCAGCGCAGAAGCTTGCTAAATATGACACACACACATCACAGTGGGTTTCAGATCAGTTTCTGAGTACCTGAGATGTGTCCTGCATCAAAATCCATACTTTTGATCAAATTTCCCTTCTCTCTCTGTCTCTTTGCTCTCCCTTCATTTCACTGCACAACAGCCTCCTGTTATCAAACCATCAAAGCCTTTCAGAAATTAATTGCTTTGCTGACAAAATAAGAGTGTGCGTATGAAAACGCATGGAAAGTAAGACAGAGAAGATCCTCAACAGCTCCTTATTAATCAACAGTGAGACGTGTAAAGCGAAGGTGTCTTTTGTCCTCCTGCTTCTTTATTTTTCTTTATCTCCATGCAAATGAGGATGAGTAAATAACAGAACACTTCTGCACGCGCGGGTGTTTAGTCCTTGATCTTTGTTTTGTTTAATTTGCGTGACATGTTGTGAGTTTGCGATGACGTGATGTCTTTCACCCCTCCGCTGTGTCTCGTACGCCTGTCTGGAGTTACGTGGAAACAAACCACCCACGTGTCTGATGGCTTTTCAGTGGAGTGATGGACAGGGACATTGACACTCTCTGTGGGTACTGTTATTTATGTACACACTTTAAAATTAAAATGACATTTGAGTTTGAGCTGATTTTTTGCAACAAAAATGTACCATATTATTTTACCATGTTTTTTGCACTATTGTATTTCAGTTCATACCAAAATGGACCATGATATTATACCATCCACATACCTTGGAGAACTTTATAAAAACCATAGTATATTATTACCATCAGATGCCATCAATGTACCATGTACTTCTTTGTATGATACATGGTAATTTTTTCATGCTAAGATTTTTAGATATCTACCATGGAAATACCATAGTATTCTTGGCTTTTATGAAAGGAATTAATACTATTATTCAGCAAGGATACATTAAATTGATCAAAAGTGACAGTAAAGACATTTATTATGTTTCTATTTCTATTTCAAATAAAACAACATTGATAATAATAAGGTTTTTTAAGCAGCAAATCAGCATATTAAAATGATTTTTGATGGCTCATGTGACACTGAAGACTGGAGTAATGATGCTGAAAATTCAGCTTTGCATCACAGGAATAAATTTTGTTTTACAATATATTCACATAGAAAACATCTATTATTTTAAATTGTAATTATATTTTGCAATATTGCTGTTTTTACTGTATTTTTGATTGAATAAATACAGGCTTGGTGAACCTTTAAAAAAAAAAACACACACACATTAAAAAATTTACAGACCCAAAACTTTTGAACACTAGAATAAATACTATAGTATACAAATACGATAATCATGATTAGTGCCACGCTATTGTTCAGCGTACCAATTTAACATCGTTGAACCATGGTACCACCATTATACTTTTTTCTAAGTAAAAATCTCTTTTTCTCTCTCTAAATAAGTCAAAGTAAGGAGCTGTCGTTCTGTGTGCTGATGTAGTTTGGAAGGTTTCACCTCTAACAAAGATAAACAGCCTGTTCTGCCCTTACGGGATGGAGGAAAACCTGTGCACATCCCACCTCCTCCCATAATGGTGTTGTTTTCATTTCCGTCAATAAGCGCTTGAGTTGCAAGCACTCGAGTTAAGAGAACCAGTAACCCCTATCTCTCCAGAGCAGCTAAACCCGGTTAATGGGCTCACGGTCCTGCACGTCTGGTCTAGAGACAGCTGGAGGGAGGTCTAAATCCGGGTTAATGTCGAGAGTGCGGTTTTTATTTATCGTTTGTCGTGTCATGAGACAGTGAGATTGAAGTACCCTTATTTTGTCCCAAACAGCAGACATTGACATAGCATTGCTAGTAGTCGGAAGGAAGTCGTGTTAACAAGGTACCGGGTTGATGCAATGAGTTAGTCACTGGATTTTACTAGATTTAGTTTGTGAGGTTTATGCCATCTTTAAAAGATATTCAGAATTTTAGTAGCAAGTAAACAAATGATCCATGAGCAAATTGTGTATTCTGCTTTTTCCTGAGTAATATCTATGAAGTAAAGTTTTTATTTTTGGAGGAGAATGAAATTTGTATCACCAAGTCTATAGACATTTTCCACTATTTTCATTCTCTCTCATGCCGTATAGTTGTTTGTGGAGAATGGTGAGCCATTTTTTTGGAATAATCTGTTTGTGCGTTGTCATTGTTTTCAGATTTATTCACATTAAAAATAATGTAAAATCACATTGTATTGTAGTTGATCGTGGTGGTCAGTGTCTAAGTGGACAGTTCTTGATCTGTCTGAATATATGAGACTATATTATTAGCATTTGTATAGTACTATTTCTTCTATATTTGTTTCTTTGTCTATTTTATTCTGTTTTATGCCTGCAGAACTGAGTGCAATGTAACATATTATTCTCTACACCAAATGTTGAGTAACCTCATTTCTTCCTGGCATCCCAAACCCTCATAACGCACCCTCAAAATGTACAAAATATTAAATATTCTGTGTTCTCAGCCAGTCTGTTTACCAACCGTAAATCTCAGGAGAAGCTGGCTTGAACGAGGCCGAAGAATTACTAACCAATCCAGCTTGGGTTTATAGTTTTGCATTTCACGTATCTGCTTGTATAACAGCTGCCTTGGATTTCAGGTTCTTATAATCTTTTTTCAAGG